ATTTTTTTTTTATAGATGCATGATGTCTTTACCTATCATTTGGTATATATTTTTTTTATATCTGACCCTTTACCTGCCCACAGGGGGGGATTTAAAATGACAACTTTTTCACAAAAAATTTACTTTTTCAACTTAAATTTTGAAAGTGTTCCGGAAAGTCTGACACTTTTATATATATCTTAAATTAAAGCTAATGTAATTTACTTTATTATGCGAAAAAAAAGTTTCGGACTTTATTTTATCTTCACGGTGAAAATGGCTACCGAATGCTATTATTGTGTGAAAATTCTCGATTTTATTTTTTACATTTTTAACTTTATAATGCTATGACATATTGAAAAGTGTATGGATCAACATTATTTTTTTATGAGAAATAATATTTTTTAATAATCCCTTTTTCATTCTACATACTTTATCTTAATTAGGATATTAAAAATGAACTAGCAGATCATGTAGCTTTTGGAATAGTCCACCAATTTTTTAAAATTAAACAGTATCTAAAGATTTGCATCGAAGCGTTTTTTTTTTATAGTGATTTTAATCACTGTCAGATATTATTATACTTGATTCATCTATACCACGTCACCACTGTGCTGGGTTTGTTTTATTATTAATATTACAATACATTTAATTATTGTGATACGAGTATATACAATTATTCTTAATCTGTTGAACTTTCATTTTTCTTCCAATAATCTTTGCATACTGTTTAATATACGCGATGTATTTATTACATGTTTTGTTCTTATTGTTCCGTATAATCGAGTAGTAGACATTCTCAATAGATTATTTATTTTTAAAACTTAATTGCACAATCAGTGATAGATCCACATAATTCTAATTCCACAATATTATATCGATTATAACATTGCATTTACGATAAAACGATATTTTGAAAAAAATACAGGTCCAAAAAAATTATAACGTTACAAGTCGCGTGGGGGTAAATATGACCCATTTCAATTTTGATGAATATTTTAAGTCATTTATTTTTTTTCGAAGGTATTTATTTATAAAAATCGATTCAATATTACTATAAAAACCATCTTCTAAATTTATATCTATGTACACCTTTTATGCAATATAATGCATCCGTTATTATTTATGTGGGGTATGCTAGACCCCGACGCGACTGTTTAAGGGTTAAGGGGATAAAATTTGTTTCTTATAAATGGTCAAATAAGTTCAAATTTTCACAATTAAGCATTTGAAGAATATTTGTTGGTTTAGTCTGAAAGGTCTGACATTTTCTTTAATAAATCTTATGAGCTATACTTCAAAAAATACTTTTTGTTAATACAATTAAAAAGACACTAAAATTACGAGTACGCATGTCTCAATTTATCGGAAGCCAATTTTCTTAGTAAGGATGAAGAAATATATTTTAGTAGTCATGCATACAATAATTGTATAGGTTTCTCTTAAGTACCTACGAGTGTATATTTATCTAAATATAATTGCCAAAAAAATATATATATTTTGAAATGTCTATATTATTTTTATCCGTTTGGGTAAATTTTCGCCGAGAAAAATTGTTCAATCTCTTGATGAAACCATGTTAAAAATATGTTTTATAAGTTTTTTCTATAATTTGCTATACATTTACATATAATTACAATTTTCTTATTTCTTTTATTGTTTGAGTTATTTTATTTAAAAAGGGTTCATAAAAAAATATCCAGAACTCTACACATTTTTTTTTTTTTGATGACTAAGTTAAAGAGATATTAGTATTTTAATAAAAAACATTAAATATTTACGTATTCCTATTAAAATATTTTAGCAATTTCAACTTAAGTGCCATTGTTAAAATGGAGAAAAATTAAAAATTTAATTGTAATAAAAATAAAGCCGTTGAGGTTATATTTAATTGAGTTAAAATTAAAGATAAGTATTATACAATATTATATTTTCTACCTTCAAAATTAAATTAGATTAATATAGATGAATGATATATAATACGTTTATAATAATAATTGTATATTTCAATTATTTTTAAAAAGTACATTGCATGTAGTAATTTTACATTTATAATAGTTTTTTTTTTTTTGAAGATACTCTCATTATTATTAAAAAATTAATTACTAGTATTGCCTAACTCCTAGTTTGTTCTCGTACATCAAACAGAATATTTCCTGTACATACAATTTCTGCTTATTTAGAGTTCATACACTAAAATGAAATTTAAAAAAAAAACATTTACACCTTAACCTTGTATACACATATATATAGATATACATTCATACATAGGTAACTGTCAAAACAAAAAAACAACACTTGAATAAAATATAAAGTTGTCATTGGCATTTCAAAAGTTTATTCAGTCAAACAGAAAAATAAATATGGTCATTATAATCCAAACGTTATGTGCGTGAAAAACTTTTCGTTTTGAACGAGTTATTTTAAAATTCTCTACAAATAAGAATAGTTTACATAAACAATAAAATTTAATATATATTAGTTATATCAATAAAAAATAAAACAATATAAAAGTCCGAGTTATTTTAGCATTGATACGAAACTAAAAAGATATTGGTTTTATCATGACCAGCGCTAAAAAAAAAAAATATTTCCAGTTTAGAAATTAAAAAAATATTACAAAATTACGCTACCGTAGAAAATGAAATTTTCAACACAATTCGTTCTACATTTTAAAACTGCTATAATTTTTTCTTTAAACTGATCTTAAAGAAATTATAATAGAATATAAAGAGGTAATGATCTTTTTTTTTTTGGTACACTTTTTTAAAAAGTCCTAATTATAGGAAAGATTTGAATGTGACCACCTACGCGTGTAAAATATTATTTTTAACTCAATTTTAAAAATATTCCGAAAAGACTGTGATTTTCAAATATATATAAAATTAAATATTATACAGTGTACTATAATATTAAAAAAAAATCACGATCTTATTAGAAATCAGCATTCAAGTTTAAAAAAATCGCAATTTTTACAAAAGAAAAATACTTTATTATTCATTAAACAAATATTTAACAAACATTAAATAAATGAGTGAAATTTTAAAAATAAAAATTGTGAAATTTAAGAGATTCACATTAAAGTTTTTTTTTATGACAGTGATATTAATCACTATCCTGTATCACATTGTTCCAACTACACCTCGTCTCATTACACGCGCGACTCCATTGTGCAAATTTTCTTTAAAACGTTTTCAGTTTTAGACATAATAAGTGTTATAATTACAATAAATGCAAGTGTTTACATATATTAACGTACCCTGTAAATTCATTATAACTATGAATTATAGGGACACCTAATATAACTAAGCTAATAAGTTATATGATTCATTCTGTTTACTATATACGTTGACAAGATACCGTATACTTTGCGATACGTTTAATACTACTCGGTCACCTCGTCTTACTCATCAGCTGCCTCATTACTTTGCGAGCCCAACCTGATTAGAGTACCTCCACTATCTAGTTGGATTCCAAAGCCTGTCTACTGTTAGGTGCGGTCGACTAATGAGCGCCGGCGATGAACGCTCCTATTGTTTTTGGCACTTAAGATATCCACCGTCTTACGTGTACTTTCACATATATTATTCAAATAATATAGAGTTATATTTCTTTCTTTTTGTTTGAAATATAGTTTTTTTTACTCGGCCCGTGCCGTTTTAAATAAGTGTTGAACATTATTTTACGTGTTTGCGTAACCTAAATTACCTATTCATAGACATTAGGATTATCTGTGTCAAGTTATGGACTACCACTAGAAGATGTTTGAACATTATTAATACTTCTTGTAAAAAAAACATTTTTATTAACAAGTGCAATTTTAGAGAATTTAGGTAACTATGCAGAACGTTACAAACCAAAAACAAATAATAATTCAGTAACTACAAAAAAATAAAAAACTTGCACAAGGGGGTCGCGGCACAGTGGTGACGAGGCATAGTTGGAGCAAGTATAATATTATCTGACAGTGATAAAATTACTATCATAAAGAACGCTTCGATGCAAATCTTTAAATAGTGTTTAATTTTAAAAAGTTGGTGGATTATTCCAAAAGCTACATGATCTGCTATTTCCTTATTAATATCCTGATGAAGATAAAAAATGTTGAAAGAAAAAGGTATATAAATATTATTTCTTATAAAAAAATTATATTGATTCATACATTTTTCAAAAAGTTATAGCATTATAAAGTTAAAAACATAAAAAAAATTTTTTTTACAAAAAACCTATTTTTGTTATTAAATTGATGTCAATTTTCATCGTGAAGACAAAATAAAGTCCGAAATTTTTTTTTCCATAATAAAGTATATTATATTAGCTTTAATTTAAAATATATATAAAAGTGTCAGTATTCCGGAACACTTTCAAAAGTTAATTTTTTGTGAAAAAAAAAATTGAAAAAAAATTTCGGATATTAGTGATTTTTGAATTTGTAATTTTTTCAATTTTTTATGGTAATGTATAATGACTGTATACGATTTGTGATCTACTGACATATCGTTGAAAAAAAAAAACGGTTCGGTCAGAGCTGAAAAAAAGTGGTAACAGACACAAAAAAAAAAAACATCATAGTAAAACCAATACATTCTCATATTCGCATCAAAGCTTATATTTGAAATCACAAATATTACATTAATACCAAGTTATTATATAATACATATAAATACTATATCATATATATTAGTTATATAGCATTTATGCGTTTCCACATTTCCGATCATGCGGAAACGCATTATAAGCTCCATAAGATCTCAGAAATAAATCTGTAATTTGGAAATTTAAATGAGCTCTAAAACGATCGTATAATGTTTAACTGACAGAATCTATTTGTAAAAATTAGTACTTTATTTCAATATACAGATAGAATTTAAACTTTAAATTACTCGATACGATTTCAGTATAGGTTTTGTTTTTTATTACACAATTTAATTTCTGTAAGCGTATTTTTCTTTTAGATTCATTTTGGAAGTATAGATTGAAAGGCCAATTTAAAAATAAATCATCCTATACATCTTTTTTAGATATATGCAATGGAGGCTCATGGTTTGGACGACGGGACCATCTCACCGATACTAAAATCAATTAAAAGAAGAAAATTAATTGTATATTCATAATTCTATATTTGTAGTAAAATTTTTAAATAGTTATAATACATTTGTCGAGTGCGAACATTAAAGTTTTTTCTCTCAGTACATGCGAATACATACAATACACACAAAAAGTGTTTGGGCGACCGGCAGCATCGCCCATACGGTAAAATATTAGTACATTGGGTAATTTATTTTTAGAATTAACTGATCTTCGTTATCGGTTGCTATAATTGTATAATTGCTATTATTATTATTATTTACATTTTCTATTGCCGCCTTTAAAATAATAGTACGTGTATTGTATTTTATTTTATTTTAATTTGACAATTTTTTATACTTAAGACTAGTCGTATTAAATTTAAAGTCGCGTGACCACCACCAACACCCACAAGCCGCCATTGAATACATATTGAGTACGGATCTGCTTAATTGAAAATTAAAACTAAAAATTTTTAGACCAAGAAGTTAAGATTCTTATGAAATGAATGACAGTAAAGTTAGTGTTAATAAAAGCCTCTTAAGTCATTACTTGCAAATTTGAACAATATACTAAATAATGTATCTTCTGATTAACGTTTAATTATTAAAGATAAATAAAAAAGCTTATTAAATATGAGTCGTTTAATGTACGTACGTCCAAAAAAAAATTTTTTTTTGTAATTGTTCATTTTTCTATTTGGTTATAAGCTAATTTGTCAAGAAAATCAACATTTTTGAACATACGTCTTTTGCAACCGGACGATTCTTATGTACTTATTTCAAGTTATTAACTTATTAAATTTGAAGACACATTATTTAGTATGTTATTCAAATTCGTTTTTAATTATTAAAAATACCTTTATAAAAACAAGTCAGAAACATACCTGTCAATATACTACGTTTTGATTTGCATTTAGGTTGACCTACAAATATTTTGTTCGATTCGTCAAAGCTCTAGCTTTGTTCTTGTTGACTGAATTTAATACAAAACAAATCGGTTTGTTTGATTTATATAGTGTATGAATACTGCCTGACACAATTATTTTATTTTCTTTAAATTATAACGATATCATTTGAGATTTAAACGAATAATAATGGAAATTAATTAGTATATGAAAATAAATTAACATACAAAAACGATTTTTAAAATTAATTTGACGTTTCTAGATACGTAACAATAACATTATCCATGGGATGGGCGATAAAACTTTTCAGAAATATTCAAGATGAGAAATCCTTTACAAACACATTAAAATAATAAATAATATACAATTTAAAAATTAAATTAGAAGTTGCAGCACGCAAATAAGTATACTCTACCTTATTTATTTCATTTAAGCACTGTAATGTATGTTTAAAAATAAAAAATGATCTTAATGTTGTCTAAAATAATATATCTATTAATTTTACGCATATGCTTGCTATTTTATACTTTTTTTTTTCAAATTTGCGTTTAACACTAAACAATCATTTAGTTTCAATCATAAATAAGCAGTTCGTGTGTTCTTTTTATTATTATTTTATTGCAAATATAATTATAGCTTCTATCGTATTACAATTAGAAGTATAGGAATATAATTTAAAATCTTAAATGGCCGATCATTAAGTTGAAATAATAAAAACATTAACGAAAATATAATTTTCGCTAAAATAATGTTAATATACTAATATCAATTAATATTATGTTCATGTATGAACAAATTTGAACTGATGTATATCTCAGCTGAAACTCAAACCGTATCAAATTATTTTGTCATCGAAACTATTTCACAACTAAATTGTTTAGAGAATTAACTTTCATGCAATGTGGCGCACAAATCCATAACGCCAATGTCAGTGCAAACAAATCATATCGTACACATATAAACATATATGTTTTGTTCGCATGGCCTCGTCCATAACTTTCATATCTTTTATACAAATGCTTTTGTGTGTTAAACTGCTAGAGATAATTTAATGAGTTACATCATACATTTTAAACTGCCAAGGCAACACTGGAAAAGTTTACAGGGAAACTCATTAGTCATTATATAATTGAACTTGTAATAAATGAATTTTAAATAAATAAAATCAATTAACATCCAACATTTACGTTAGCGAGATACAAGAAATGATTGATAATTTATTAATATCTCTTCAAAGTTCATGTCACCTTTCATTATATAAAAATAATTCTTATATACAAACTGAAGATATACGTCAATGTCAAACATGGTTATCTTTAAAATTGAATGCGTTCATTAGATTATCTTTTTCAATGCAGTGGTATCATAACGAAGCCTACAATAAAAGAAAATTGAATATGAAAATAGAAACAGTATATTATATTTACATAATACTTAGGCATAGATAACTGAATTGGTTATAATTTTTAGAATTAATGCGACATATTTTTTAATGCTCTATGTTAAATTTAATTTACATAAAAAACGGTTTGATAAAATTTACATAAATATCGGGATAGTTACTTACAAATGAAGAAAATCTCTTTATAATTGAATATTTCATGAGGTTCTAAATTAGAGTACTAGTTATATATCCCTAGTAATATGTATGGTTCATTACACAAATTATATTTGAATGGATATGAAACAAGTATGTGCAAACAATTTCAAGTTATCATATTTATTATTCAAAAAATTCCAGTTAATATTTATTTTATTAGAATATTTAAGGTTGTACTACACTAACAAAATTAAAAATACATACATTGTAGAAAGCCTAGATTATATATTTTATAACTATGGGATAATTTATAATATTAGTATTAATTCTTTTGGAACTAAAGAGCTTATAAGCTTAAAAATATAGATGACTAAAGTTCGTAGATAGCAGGAACTTTCTGACATTTTATCCCTGGATTAAACTCGGTAGATGGATGCTGGTCGGTATCTTTGATTAAGAAATAAAAAGCCAGTTTTTACGTTAGAATCCAAACTGTTTGGTCGATGACAATAAAAGAACAGATAACAATAATATTACAAACTACAATTAAATAACTACAACCTAATCAATTGAACAAAAAACACAAAAAAATAGCTTTATTATTGTCAGAATAAACTGGTAATTGAATTGATTTAATTTTAATTTAATTCAGCATTGCTTATTTTTTAATCAAAATCAGTGTTAAATCCGTAGAATAATTAAATCGGAATTAAAAACAGTTTCTGTTTAAAAGTTCTTATATAAAATTTTAAAATGATTAATTATTTAAATTTCCACATGATTTACACAAAAACTTTATTTTCTTTATGCCATTGCTCTTCAAAATATTTTCATTTTCATATTGGCATTGAAACCGAGCCGGGCAATGTACGTCTTATAATTTTTTAAGTGGTGTTTGACAATATGATTTATAATCTAAGGACCTCTAAAGTACATGGGTTACTTGAAATTTTTACAGATCAATAGGTTACAAAGATCCCAATACTCGAGACATGACCACCATCAAACGGGCAAACCATCCTATCTTAACTAGTGATATACAGTTCTCTGGTTATTTTTTTTTTGTTCATCACTTTTTTATTAGTTTTCAACGTCTATCGATTTTTATGCATGAAAAGATTTACTCGTAATGCAACAGATTGATTATAAATAATTATAAGTAAATACTGTATTTATGTTCAATCTAAAACATTGAAAATCAACCACTTATATTAACTGAAGCCCAAAAATCAGTCAGTTTTGTTTAGTCGATCTAATCGTGGAACTTAATGTCCAGTGACGTTCGAACAAAACCCAAATGGCAGAATGTCATCTAATTACACGAGACAACTTTGAAATACGTAAAGATATTGGGCTCGAAATAATTTTGAAAGAACCAGATTTATTTATTTATAATTCATGAGCAAAATTACTTCGAACGTATATTGATTTTGATTGCTTAATAATACACTGAATATGTTAATTTAATTATAATCCCAACACAGTTCGGAGCTTAACTAACTCGAGAACTTTAAGTACGTGCAAATACTTAACGTAATGCATGTTATTTAAACGCATTTAATACAAATGCTCATTTTCGGTAAAATTTTAGAACTTTTGTTTACTTTTAGATACATTGCGTAGCGAATACATTTTTAGTACATTTTGCAATAATTTAAACAACCATATAGTACACGGACAAACTATCTAGTCGGGCCGACGCAAATTATGGTTTACATAATGTCAAATTGATTGAAGAACTATGTTATGTACAGTTGAACCAAGCTAAATTTAGATAGTAATTCCAACTGATATTATAGTTCTACCAATTATATAATTACATTGTCACTATATTAACTATATCTATATATAATGTAGATACAGTTGATATCAATATTATAGATTTAATATAAATATTTTTTACGTGTAGTTGAACGCATATGAAGACAAAGCGTACGCAGGGGGTAGTGTTCTAGGGGTTTAACCCCCCCCCCCCTCAGAAACATGTTCAGCCAAATAGTATGGGGCTATGTCCCACACGAGCTTGTTATCAACATAGTGATAATGAATTAATCTATATTATCAAACACTACCCGAACTCTTTGATATTAAATCAAACGACAAAAACTAAACAATTAAAAAACCTTTTATTATAATTTCAATGTTCACGGCATTATTTTAAAAAATACATCACCGAACATTTTAAAACGAAAAAATTGTACTTACATTTATAGATGCACAGTAAATATAAAATGATTTCCAGTGAAAAAAATAATCGAAATAAACAAATATTTTAAAGTAATATCATTTTTCATATATTCCTCTATTCGAAGTTCAATTAAATAAAACTAATTTCATATTAATCAAATGATGTGGTCGAAATAAAGTAACTGTGGGTAATTTACCATAGATTCTAAAACCCTTTTGCCACCAAGCACAAACATCTTGTGGTTGCATAAAAGTCATACAGTGGCCTCTTAAATCCACTTTCCCTGTGGTTACTAAGTTTGTATCATTCAGTTATTTACGCAATAAACCTTAACCACCCAGTTTCCTTTTATTGCAAATCTCAATAACAACCTTACAGTACCACTACATGTTTACACTAACAATCGTTAAACAACATTTGACAAACAATTATTTTTCAATATGTACCGTTTATTTAATCTAAACTACTCAATTTCAACTTTTTGATTTAGTATAAATTCAATTCGTTATAATTCGAGCTAAAATTATCTCACCATTATTATTCATGAGGTTTATTCGTGTTATAATTTGAAAATTACAAAACTTTTATGAAACTTTTTATTAGTTTGAGTAATTTGAATTTTACATCTGTTAGCCATTTTTCGATAAAATTTAATTATTTATAACGAAAAATTAAAAATTACAATTTTTAAATATTAAATAATAAATTCAATTTAAGGTTATATGAAGCGTAGTGGATTTTAAATATTCGATAAAAATGTAAACGACTCAAATACTTTTACTAAAGTATATTTTGATGTATAGAAATAAAAAGAAATATATAAGTATATTATGAGTATTTTTTCTCTAGGGTCCACTAAGAAAAATATGTTCAAAAATTTGACAAAATATTCAGAGTATCTTAAATAAACAAAAAGATACAAAATATTAAATTTAAATTATTGAATTAAATTGTACTTATATTACTTTAATTACTTTTTAATAATTTTATAAAAAGGATCAGGATAATTAATTTTTCTACAAGATCGATCGAGAACAAAATGTATAGAATGAGATTCTTTAAATGCTAGTGACTTGATTTTTTTTTAAATAATAAAAATGTTAAACAAATTACCTTTGGTTTTTTTTAATTTCAACAATTTTTGATTATGAAGAAATATTTTTTAATTCATCTCTTATAACTTATAAAGGTGTTAATATTCTTTTTTTAGGGTAACATACATATTTAAATAGCCTATTAAATAAAAAACTTATCTAGTTAAAAAAATTACTGTCATAGACGTGAGGAGAGGTGTGGCCAAGAAATGTCTAATGAAAAATATTGGCATACAGGTATCTCTCTCTCAGTCTATATTTTAAAAACGTCATAACTTCTGACCTCCCATCCCTGCACCGCTCCTCCAATCTATGTATAGAACTGTCAATGACTTTCTCATCACTGATCCAAAAGTTATCCTAGCAGTCATTTTCTTAATTAGATCATATAGTTATTATATAAGCCAGTTAATTATATATATATATATATATATTCCATCAAAAAAATAAGTTTTAGGAGATGAATTAAAAAAGTAACTAATAATTGATAAATCAAGAAATATTGGAACAAAAATGATTTTCTTAACATTATTGTTGTTTTAAGAGAAATCGAATGGCTAGCATTAAAATAATCATCACCTTGTATTTCAAAAATCATTTGCAGTGAATGTAAAATATTTGTTAGGAATTTAAAATGAATTTATTTTTAATAGTCTTTATTTCTACTTTTATCTATACGACTTGTAAAAATTTAACATAATTAATTTTTAAATTATTCAATTGTTACAGTTGGTTGTTGAAATCAACAGTCAGGTGGCCCAATTCAGAGAATTATTGGTGCATATCGGTACGTCTAAGGATTCTCCAGAAACAAGAGAAAAGATCCGGAAATTGCGTAGGGGTTGTGTAGATACATGTAAACATACCAGTCAGTTAATTATTCCTCATATGCGAGGGTATGTACATAATTAAATTAATTAAATTTGATACATAGCGATTAAATATAATATGATTTAGTAAAGTCAAGTATCATCACCCAAGAAATAGTCATTATTCATAATTTATAAATTTAACTAAAAGAATCTTAAGCAGGCCCAGCTTTATGGTGGAGAGGTAGTGAGCCCTAATAGCATTTAAATCCAACCATAATAGTAAAGAACAAATAGAAATGTCTATTTAATTTATGTATTACTAATAGATTTAATTTTTACTAATTTTAATGAAATTTTTCACTAATATAATTTTTATCAATAATAAAGGTTTTTCCAAATGGTAACCAAAAGTTTTTTTTTGTTACACAAGTTTAAGTACCGCTATGAAAATGTATTTAATAAAATTTGCTCATTTCTAATATATGACAATTAACTTATAAGCATAAGTATTTTTAACGCATTCATTAACTGTATTCAACAACTGCAATTATTGAATACAATTCGTTCAGTGCTAATTAACAGGTTTCACAAAAGTCTTGCGATTAGAATTATAAGCGAACGATACTTAACTCGTAAATAGTATAAAAAATTAGGTCCGACTTTTACATAAGCAATATTGATTAAATTATATAGTCTATATTAAGTCAAGTGGCGTACGAAAATTTTTAGCTATATTGGAAAATTGCCCACAAAAGATATATTTATCATTTTCAAAGACCAACCAAACTCTATAACACCAATTTATTGTATTAAAGAGAAATGAGTAGGTTAGAAGCCTAAAATTGTGATAAGAAGAGATAATTTCCAATCAAACTAATGAACAAAGTTAAACAATTAACATGACAATTGTCACAAAAAATAATGTTTAATTCCTGACGTTTCACTGATTATTGAAAGAATATACAATATATTTTCAGATATGCATTATTTGATTTTTTGTACAACATATGGTATTATAAAACTGTTTCAGAAGGACTTCTATAATACTTGTTTTCATGTTTTAAAAAACTCATATTTTCATATTATACTACTACTCGATTAATTTATACCTTATTATCTAATAAGAGTACAGTATGATGATCAATAAAAAATTAAAATTATACTTAATAATTATATTTTTAAGTCCCTAATATATTATTCTTATTAGAAACATTAATATTTTTATTTTGTAATATAGAATTTTTATTACCATAGAATAATTGGCCTACTTTTAAAAATACAAAAAAAAAAAGACTATTAAGTATTAATAGTTAATATTATTATAAAACTTATTTTATACAAATAAACTAAGAAAATAATTTAAAAAAAAGTTATAAGCAAAACTTAAAATTATATATTTTTAGTGAGATATTTGTATAAGTTCATCATACTTAAATTGGTCTAGAGCCTATCTTTCGTTCTAATTGTAATTTTTTATCACGTAAAAAACTAAATCAAATTTTGGATACTATATTGAATTATTAAATAACTATACATTATTAAAAACATTTATGAACTACGAATTTTAACATATTTTTATTTTTACAGTGTAAAATTTAATAATATAAAAATTAAAAAAAAATTACTATAGAAAAAAATTGCAGTCGGTAACTTAGTATTTTTTATCATTCTTGCTTTTATATCCAAGGCGCCTTTTTGTATTTTAATAATACATATATTTCTAATAATTGTTATTTTCTATCTTCAATATTTATTTTCATAACTTTTTTTTCTTATTTACCAAAGCAAATATTTTTTTCGAATTTTATCTTCTCATAAGAATTGTGTTTCAACAGCATTTTATTTAGAAATTTTTGATAAAGTAAGCACTCTTCAATTTTAACTCCGATACACGATACAAAAAAGTTTGCATTAGTAATGCCTGCCATCTTCCATAATATAATCAAGTACATTAAACTATTCACGGTTAAGACCCTGTATTGACGTGCACACCAGCTGTTTGCTTCTCCTCTTGAAATGAAAATTATTAACTAATTTGAATAAAAAGGATAAAAAACTATAATGAAATAAAAACTTTTATGTTTAACCTCAAATTTAAAAATTATGAATGTATTTCTTTATTTTTACCACTTTACTAAATACACTTATTCATAGTAAAAAGGTGACTTTTTATTTTTATCTAACAAAAACAGCAGTTTAATTAGTTTGTTTAATTATTTTGTTCACACTTTATAGAGAACACCATCTAAAACTTTCAGCGCCAATTTAAACTTTTGTTCTACAGCATACTCACTAGAAAGTCAATTAAAACAGAATACCATGTATAATTATATTCTAAAAATGTTTAGTGAATGGTTGTGTACATTTGTATATGATATATTTAACTAAACCACTCTTATTATTACTCACAAACAACACAATTTGTGTTTGATTACTTTTCAATACTAAAGTGTACTTTTAATATGTGCAATAACAAATTTTTGTCTTGCTGTAATAATTTTATAATTATTTATCAATCTTTTTTAATTTATCATTTAACCCAATTTATAACATTTCTGTTACTGCATAATATGCAGTAACAGTATATTATACTGTTGGCCTTTGTAAAATTGATTTGTATTTCTAGCGAAGTTTGCTATATGTACTATATATTACATTGTGCAACACTGAATCGTTTCGGTTGTAAACATATGATCGTTAAGTCAAAAGTCGTAAAGTGACATAGAAATGAAATAATGTCTTTAAAGGACCTTCTCATTGAAGGCCCATAAGGCTGAAAGTAGTTTCCGCAGATAAAAATTGATATCCGGTAAAACGATTTTCCATGTTTACGTGATCTCCAGCTCTTTTAAAATAACAAAAACAGCCTGATAAAAACCGTATACTTTACCATATATTCTATAAAAAACTCGTTCAAAAAAAAAATTGCCAACAAACACGCGTATAAGAATTTTTAGAAATTATTTGATAAAGTTAACCTTAAATTATATTTTACGCATTATTTCAGTGGAATAATTATTTAATGAGCTATTTAACCAAATTTAACAATTTTTTTTAACTGGTTATGGGGAAAAAAGGTTAAATTCTCTTCAAAAATCTCCTTTAAGAAATTTTCGTGACAAACGACACAAAAAAAATGTCGAGTATGAGTTTTTCATTGAAATCATCTACATATAACTTTTTATACACGTGCTCAAGAACTGTTTCATCGTGCCATAAACTCAAGGATTTTACTTTTATACAATAAAAACACTCAAAGGGCACAGCTTGAATTAAGCACACAAACGTAAATCGTACTAGTCAAGTGAACCTTCATATAATATATTTATTTCAACGCGCTGTATGATTTTGACACTTTCCATACATGAAATATACTCATATGTAAATAATACATATTATGTATTACTTACATACGAGTCTCAAATAATATAATCTTAAGATTATTTTGTCAGCAGCCCAATCAACCATAGTAAATTCGAATTTCCTTTTTTACTCTAAATTATAACAGTAATACAACGTTTACTTGTATTCTATTATTAAGTTTGCTTTGTCCATGAGATAACAAAATGTGTTCGGGGCATTTTTGTATCCTGAGCTTGGTTCAACATACCCTTTATTTTACTGATATTTAAACTGTCAACCATTCTTTTTATTACATTTCTTTCGGACACATTTGAATTTTAAAAAGTACATTATTACTTTTTGACCGATCGGAGGGGTGGGGTTACAAGTAATATCCCACTTACCACAGCGCCCATATAAAGTATTGAATGTACGTATGATACTATAGAAACGTCTGATTACTCACACGCAACACCAAAGGGAGTGAGAGTGCCTATACAAAATCGAAGGATGTGAGCAAGCAAATAACATATGATAAACTACTAAATAAAAAAATTGACTAGAATGCAGTCACCACAAATTGTATTAAAATATTAAATAATTAAATATAAATAACTGAAATAAAAAAAATAATAAAACATTAAATAATAGCACCTTTGTCACAAAAAAAATACTATAAAATTCAGCGTTTTCAATAAACAAATATCATAAATAAAGTGTTTCAATCAATAAGTAATTTCATGATAAATACATAAAACTCCACTATAACATTAGACTATGAAAATTCATCAAACAATAAATCATAATTATTTCTTTATATTTGTAAATACATATAATGTCAAATTTTCCAATTTTGGTAAATAATAATCAATAAAGTAAAATTTGACTAAATAATAAATATAAAATGTAATATTTATAACACTAATAAACAACTCTTTTTAGCTTCGACGCGAAGCTGAAAAAGTATTAATTTTACTATGATGTGTGTTTTTTTTATTATTATTATTATTATTTTTTTTTATATAAAATAATAAATACTTTATAGCTAATATATATAATATACTATATATATGTACTATATAATAACTACTATAACTTATTGAAAAATGTATAGATCAATAAATTAATTTTTATAAATACATAAGGTATTTACTTATCATTTTGTATATTTTTTTATAAATCGGACCTTTTACGTTCCCACAGAAAAGGATTTAAAATGACAACTTTTTCACAAAAAATTAACTTTTGAAAGTGTTCCGGAATACTAGCACTTTTATATATATCTTAAATTAAAGCTAATATAATATACTTTATTATGGAAAAAAAAAATTTCGGACTTTATTTTGTCTTTACGGTGAAAACTGACATCATAGTTAATGACAAAAATACGATTTCTTTCAACGATACGTCAAAAGATCACAAATCGTATCTAGTCGAAGACATTACCCTCAAAAATTGAAAAAAATTACCTCGTTCCCCGTAAATGGGGGAAACCTCCAAAAAAATTACAAATTTAAAATCACTAATTTAAAATCACCAATTTTCAAAAAAAAATTTTTTTCTAAAAATTGCTCTAACTTTCTTAAAATTGAATAAATCAATATATTTTTTTTATAGATAATTGATGTCTTTATCTATCATTTGGTATATATATTTTATAAATCTGACCCTTTACCTGCCTACAGGCGGAGATCCAAAATGACAACTTTTTCAACTTAACTTTTAAAAGTGTTCCGAAAAGTCTGATACTTTTATATATATCTTAAATTAAAGCTAATGTAATGTACTTTAAAAATTTCGGACATAATTTTGTTTCACAGTGAAAATTGCTACCGTATGCTATTTTTGTGTTAAAATCATCGATTTTATAATTTATATTTTTAACTTTATATTTCTATAACTTTTTGGAAAATGTATGGATCAATACAATTTTTTTATGAGAAACACTATTTTCATTCGGCATACTTTTTTTCTAAATCGGATGATTTTCCTTAATACAGGGGACCAGTAAATTTATTTATAAATTACCAAACATTTTTTTTTCAAGTATTTAATTAACTGTAAAACAAATATTGAACTATAATAATAAATTTTACTAAAAGGATAATGATGACTAAATAACTAAAATACGTGTAATGAAATAAAAACTGATGAACTGATGACTCTAAATTTTTACTAGAATAAATGAGAAGGCAATTATTTTATTTCCAAAGGAATATGAAAAATTATAGGACAATAAAGAACTGAATGACAACAAAAAAATCACCTACTAGTCACTTTCCACAATTATAAAGAATTATAATTTTAATTAAAATAAACTACAGCCTTTTAACAAAGAGCTATCTTATATTACCAACCACTTTTTAAGAATATATATAACTTCAATATTACAATCTTTATACAGGGTGTTCAGTAAGTTAGGAAACAGTTAAATTGTTACAAACAATGAGTACAATAGAAATTCGTTTCCTTATTTACTGAACACCCTGTATAATAATAATACACAACCAAAAAAAAACAACTCACAGATCCTCAAATAAGTGTAGTACGCACAGTTCAACTGCGATAGGCAACTGAAACAAACTTATAAAAACAGAGACAAAAAATAATAAAATAGTTCCTTTAAATAAATAAAAACATGTCAAGGATATGACTTCCTAATAATTCATACAAAATAGGAACTTTAATTTGTATAGAGAAAAGAAGCGTGAGAGGAATGGAGAACACCAGCTGTGTGGTTCAGATACAGTATAGGTACCAGGCGCTGTGCATAGAGCGTAAAACACCTATTTCTTTGTCCGAAACACTTATTTATATTTTACGTCTATTATTTATTATTTTTTATACTGAGATATATTATACCTTTAAAAAAATATGTTGAATGTAAAAGTCGCAAACTCAAACAATAAATTCCTTGATAATCTCAAAAAGTTCAGGTACTTAATATAAATACATATCAATACACATACTTTTTACATTTTTAAACTTCTGTCTGAAGTTCTTCAGCCTGTCATATATTTAAATTATGATAGGATAAAAAAAGTACCGTTAAAAAATAATAATAATGCATATAAGAAAATTTATAATGTTTTATATATTAATAATAACTCTATTTTTTAATATGGAATATTAAAATAAAAAAAATAATAATTAAATCTTCACAAAACATGATTCGTGTCAATGATAATTCAATTAACATATTAATAATTATTATTTCTTGAAATTCTTCTCATTATTTTCAAGCGGCACTTGATTACTTAAGATTCGGTATTAACAAACTTTATACCACTCGTTGCTTTTTGAAATGTCACATAGAATGTAATTGTAAAATATAGAGGAACTTTATCCTAAATGAAATGGTTTTGTAAAGTTTTACAATGTTCATCGTCATTGTACATTAAATTCGCATAAACTATACACTGTAACAATTCTTATAAATGTCGCACGTTTTGGAAAGCCTAAATATTTCTTTTCTTTAATAAAACACTTTAATATAATACATTGCCAAATGAAACATTAATTGCTTTAGTTTTTTATGCGGTGTACTTTAATTCATAACTAATAGTACATGTGAACTATACTAATAAAATAATTGCAAGATCGTTTATCACATTTTTGTAATGTAAATGAAAATATACTGTTGGTAATGCAAGTTAATGCCATACACTCTATTTACCATAATAATTATTTAAATAAAATTTATATAAATTTTTATATATTAAATGTGGTACAAGTGTTTTAAATAAACAAAATTGCAACAAAGTTCATAAATCATAAAATTAGGTAATTAAAATCAATAAAAATTAACTAAAATATAAATGAACAAGCTTGTCTTATAATAATTGATTCAAATCACTATATAGGAATTTGAAAAAAAGTTATTCGTAGAAAATTATTTTTATAATTACTCAAGAGAGAATTATAACATAAGATGAATTGTATTACAGATTTGACATTTATATAAAAAATAAACAATTTTACCATTAATTATTTTTGTAAATAATAAAAAAAAAAGTATATTTATCATTCCATAGTATCATGTCTCAAAATATTATGTTTATGAGTCATGCATGTTATCAGAATGCCTAAAAAGATAGTATATCCCAGAAAAAAACATTTTCATTCAAAAATGTTCAAATATTATTCAAGTTAATTCAATATATATAATGTAACTTAGAATATAATTTTTAATTAGAAAATTATTGTTAGATCTAAAAACGTTTAAAAATTCAACTCTTATGATCATCGTTAATTTAATAGGTCAAATTTAGAAACGTCACTCGCGGACCATCCTGAATTAGCCCTTTTGTTTTATTTATGCCAAATGATGTTAAGAGAACTAGGAAAATGCAGCCGTTTAGTACAGCTAATTCCAATGGATATGACTGGATATTTCGGTAAAAATTTTTTTTAATATTTTATTAATAATCATAAATAGATACAATTATATATGCAATATATTTATAGAAAATCGAGCAGGACCATCAAACATCGGAAACGTTATTAGTCAAATACTCTTATGCAAACAAATATCACCAGATTTTAACCAAGAAGAAATATGTAGCATTGCTAAAGATAGTCAAGATCTATTAAAACTCATCCAAGACATGCAAGAATTTCTCCCTCAACAGGATACTGCAGCTGGTAAATTTGAATTGAATTATAAAAAAATCATTAGCAACGTTACTTACAACTCATAATTTACAAATGTTACGTAATATATAACATTTATATATAACAATGAGCTAAATCGTCACATTATGACAGTAGTTCATTGTCAGTATTAAATTCATAGGTAAGGAGTTATCAAATTATTGGAGGGAGGTAAATCTAAATTTGCTCGACTTTAAAAATTGTTTGACATAAATACAAATGATTATCAGCATTTTAAATTGCTTATTTTATAAATGAATAGACTAAGACTCTTGCCCACTCTTACTTATTCACCTTCAAAAATATAATACTAATAATGTATAACTAACAAAAAAAAATTAGAATTTCTCTAAAATATATGTATATAATCTAATTTCTAATAAACTTTTTTTTCTTTCGATATTAATGAAAGTTCAATAGAAAAATATAGTATAAAAAGGGTTTGGAATAGAATTCCCAACCTACAAATGATAATTTTTTTTTTCATTACAATTTTCAATAATGTTCTGGAACGTCTGCATTCTTTCAACCTAATAAAATTAAAGCTCTTGAAGTGATCTATAATATTCAAGGTTGGGAAGGATAATTTTTTTTTTAACTCGTTAAAATTAAGTTAATTAAAAAAAGTTAACTAGTTAAATGTTAATCCTTTTTTTTTTAATAAATTAAACTAAAAATTAAGTTGACAAAATTTTATTAGCTTAACGAATAGAGTTAAGTTAATGCAAGGAATAGTAAATTAGCAAAAGTATCATAAGCGTTTGGTGGTAAAATTTTTTTGGAGAAGTATATATAATTTTTGGAGACGGACCTTCTCACTACGCGTTTGACATTTAATCAGATTAATAGATAGTGCGACTTCCTTGGTTATCAAAATATTATATTCGTAATAGTATACGGGTAATTTATTGAACGTCTACTATAGTTGTTTAAAAAATATCGACTAAATTCCATTTATAGAATTTATTTACGATAATACCTGTATGACACAGACCAGTCGGCCACTTGTCGGAGACTAATGAGTATTAAAGTCGTTTATCGATAGTATTAATATAAAACATCAGGAAACCCTAAAATGGATTTTACATATTATTCATTAAACTTACTAAATGTCGAAGACAATAATTTTTCTAAATAATTTTTTTTTAGTATTTCAAATTTTATTTAAAAAAAATTATTTAACGAAAAATACGTTTATTATTCGTAAAACGAACATATGACAAATTAAGTTTTTTGTTAATTATTTTTTTAGAAAAATAAAAAAATGATCAAATTAACAAATCTTTTATTAAAACAACCAGTAAAATGGTTCAGCTAATTAAAAATACTATTTATTTAACAGAACTATAATTAGACGTATATTGATTTAAAAAAATTGTAGATTTTATCAAGTTCTTTCAGAATAATCAAATAAGTTTAACTTTTTAACTTATTCACTCAATTATGTCCGCCTTGATAATATTTAATAAAAAACAAAATTTCTACTAGAAGAATAAGCTGACAGAGTAAAAAATACGCAAATTTTGCTAGAAAAAATGTATTTTTTCTTAATATGTATTTTGAAAATATTTCAGAACATCTACATACTTCAAACTTATATCAAATAAAAGCTTTAAGTTTGTATAAATCCTCATTCCTAAGTATAAATTAAATAGATTCGCATCATAGCGCTTTTATGATAATGATATTAATCACTGCCAGATATCACCTATACTGTTCTGTTTTTTTTTTAATATTATTTAAATTTTTATTTTAATAATCGTAACTTTAACAAATAAGTACTTTTTACTATGCTATTTAATAAATGCGCGAACCAAGGGGAGCATTCCACCTGTCATCCTCCTCATACCGTCATTGCTGAGTAAATAACTTTTAATACACTATCTGCTAATAAATTATAGCTCTAAAATAAATAAATCAATTTTTAATAGAAGATTTTTAATACGGTTAAGGCAAAATAACACGATAGGTTATTATCATAATATTTTGTTTTTGTTAAATCTTAAAATGACATTATATTTTTATAGAAAAAAACGCTGCGTTAGAGCCAGAGAACAGTAAATGGAAACGAAAAGGTAGGCGAAATTCATTCTACACCAATGTCAGCTCCTGTTGTTGTTTTTGCAGACCAACGTATATATGATGCTCCGCAATAATAATTATTGTAAATCAGCTTACTTACTAATGTAAAAAACACTCAAAAGCTCAAAAAAATATAATTCTTTCAAACCTACCTGTAAAAATGATAATAATTACCTAAATAAATGTATATAGTATGTACTTTTTCAATGTATAATAAATTCATTTTATTATTTTACTAGGTAAAATGATTACATGAATGTAATGTATTCTAATAATAATATTTTTTCAGAAATCAAACATCTTTTAAATTTTATTCTTTTTTTTTTTATATAGTGAAATAATTAATTGTTATTTAATTGTTTTGTATTATTTTATTTCTGTTATGGAGTTCGTTTACTTGTTTTACATTCCATGTAGAGAAATGTATATTAGTATTTATAATATTAGACAATAATATGTTAAACATTTATCTATTATGTATTTAATTCACTTTTTAGAGTACCAAGACTGTTCATATATGATTCAATTATGATAATATTAGATCTTTGTATAGTCTATTGTATAGTAACATTTTATTAGTGTAAAATTTAATCTACTAAAATATTTAATATTTATGTTATTTTACAGCGGAAACAAATTAATACTAATATAATTATCGTCCATCAGCTTACAAAATTTCTAATACTAATATTTCAATATTCTATAAATAAAAATTGACAAATTAAATGTATTTTGTTTATACATAGTTCAATGATTTTTCTATTATATGTATAACAAAAATCTATCATAAATAATTATTATCGATATAATTACAAATACAATTTAATAGCTTTTGTGTTAATATTTATAGTCATACTTTAAATTTTTATTTTTGAAGTGATCGTATAAATATTTTCAGTTTATAATGTTCAATTCTAAGGTAATCATTGAGCGGCTTTATATTGTTTCACAGTTAAAACTATAATAATCCTAATATAAATAGTCTTTTTAATTTTTAATTTAAGCTCAAAACACCATTTTTAATTAATTTCTATAAATTGATATTTTTATATGATTTATTATATTTAATAAGTTGATATAATTAAACTATATTTATCAAATGAGTCACTCACAATAATTTTAATAGATGATTATCTAATGATTACCTAATCATATTTTAATATTAGTAAAAATTTCCTTATATAATCTAAAGCACCAACTATTTTCTAATTATTTAAAACAAATATTTAATTTTAACTACTACAAACATCTATATAAAATAAACTTCATTCTATTATGATGCCTATTTATTAAAATACAATTTAAGCAACTTATGTCGTTTGAAATTAATTTTTAATTATTTATAAAACCAGTTTGTATTAAATAAAAACTGGTTTTAAGTATTTTATTTGTAACTTTTAAAGATATTTGACTTTAAAAATTAAAAGAAGCCTTCTGATTTTCATCATTATCATTATAAAAAAGGATTAAACTAAATAATTAAACGTTTTTTAATTATAAAATAAAAATATAATATATTAATTCCGTAAGTGAAACATGCTCTATACAAGTCCGGGTTAAGAGGACCTGGGGAATTCATTGTCTGTGAATCTTAGATTTTTTCGTTAAATCACAGTATAAAATTTATGTCATAAATAACATCTGTGAAAAAGGGATGACATATAAATGTTGGACATTGGGCCATACAATGATTTAATTTTATATTAGATGTAAACACGTTAAATATTATTATTGTGTATTATCTATATTTAATAGTAAAAAAGTGGTTCCAGTTGTATATGCCATTTCTGACATAGGTAGCAAAACCATAGCTTCTATGATATAAAGCTGAGACTAGCGCAAAGCCAGTGATTCTTACTCTTCGTGTTATCTGTTGTTCGTCTGGCACATGAGTTTCCTGGAGGATGACTACATCAATTTCTCGTTCTTGTAATAATCGTTCAAGAAAACTACTTTTTCCATATTAATTTCCTCCGCATTTAATTGTAAGATTTGGAGCTGAGAGCCCAAGTATCGAATCAAATAGCCCTCAGAAAGACTGTTTTCAGGGTAAGATGTGATCTTACATAAAACCATCATCAACAATATCATCGAAATGAATATTCAAAAATTTTAAAATAAACCACGGCTAGAAAATTATGAGATAGTAAGTATATTAAAATTAACGATAATTATTACAATTACTCAATTAATCTATTTAGTTTTCAAATTTTATTTATAGGAAACTAGTTGCAATACCCTGTCACAATCAACTGAACCAGCAAAAAAAGCATCTCCATATACAAATGTCTCAGTGTCGATTTCATAGTGTGTGTACCCTCATAATATAGGGTTATATGTAAATAAACCTGCAACTGAAAGTATTGACTTGATACCGGGACTTCAAAATTTTATATGGACACCTCCAGAAGATAACCAATTCCCTGTTTTCGAAAAAAAAATTTTCAAAGAAGTTGGTTGCTCAAATATAAATGATTAGCTTATTCAGAAATTATAAATGGCGCATTATGTAAGTATTGTGCATTGTCTTCTTTACAAGTTGGAGGAATTGGACATCAAACGTTGGGGCAGCTTGTTTAAAAACCAATTACCAACTGGAAAAATGCTTTAGAATCATTTAGTTATCAAAACTCACTCGAATATCATAAAACTTCATTATTCAAATCAAATATGAGAACAGAAATTGTTAATCAAAACATTTTACTGGTTGACTTACAAATTTCGGAACAACAATTAGATTTCAACATTGAAAGTAAAATATATTTGATTCCTATAATCGAAACTTTAATAATATGTGGTCGGCAGGATTTGGCTCTTCGTAGTTCAAATGATTCAGGCAGAGTAACTTCTGAAGAACCTATAACTAATAATGGTAATTTTTCGGCTCTTTTGAGATATCAAGTAAAAACTGATATACAGCTTAAGAATTTTTTACAAAATTCAGAAAAAACGCAATGTACATTAGTAATCGTGTTTAAAACGGATTTATTGTCATATTTCACTATTTAATTCAAAAACAGATTATTGAACGTGTCAATAAATCTCGAGATTTTTCGATAACAACAGATTTGAACTTTATAGATTTACAACCAGCAGTTATTGATGCCTTGGAAAATATTTCGAGTACTTGGACAGGCTCAAAAACAACATCCGGATCTTTTCAACTACTATCAGCAATGAAAACATTAGAATTTAAAATTTCAATTCACGTTTTGCATTCAGTACATGCAAATTGTCTTTATCATTGAGTAGAGTCGTACAAACGGAAAATCAAGATTTGGTTGAGGCCGTGAAGTTGGCAAATGCAGCAAAACACGAGCTTGAGGAAAGAAGACAATATTCTATAGATAACTTCAACACAATTTTTGTAACTATAGAAGTTATTTGCAATAAGTACAATATATCTGTGACTAAACTTAAACTTAAACTTAAACCTCACGTCAAAATAACTGTTCTAACATTATAACCGACTTTGTAGCAGATTATTATCAAATTATTATTTACATACTATACCTTGATTTATTTATTCAAGATCACTTCCTCAAGCATCGTAATATTTTATCAAACATCTCGTCTTTTTCTTATTGAAACAAAATCTTTAGACAAAGATTTTTGTAAAAAATTATTTGAAATTTATTGATTAATTTTACACGACGATTCCCCAGAAATTTGGATAAGTGAGGTAGAATTTGGCGACGACGACAAGCTAGTGAAAATATTTAAAACTCCCTCGATGCCCTCAATATTTGTAATTCTGATGCGTTTCAAAATGTTCATAAAATGTTACGTGTAATGTCAGTGTTGCCTGTGACTACAGTGACTAATGAAAGGTCATTTCAACATTATGTCGGTTTAAAACCTATTTATGGTCATCTATGAGTGAAGATCGTTTAAACGGATTAGTTTCATTGAATATCCATCATGACATAAACGTGGATATCAACGAAGTATTAAACAAATTCTTTTTTTCTCATCGAAGAATTAATTTATTAAAAAAATAATTTTTAATTTTATTGTATCAATAATATCTTCAAAATTTAGAATACAACGCATTTTCAATTTTGTTTGTATTTTAATATTTCTTGAGCGGTTGCTTTTTCAATTTTAAGTGTGTTATATATTTTCAGTCCATCTGTACCCACTAGGTTGAATAATATGGCAATTTGAATAGCTTCTTTCTAACTAAAACTCAGTAGCATCAAAATATATTTTTATTTCTTGTTGAAAAATTTTAAAATTTTCAATAAGATTATCCGTTACTATGATAGGATTAGATTTGTTGAATTCCATATTTATCCACTTTGATCAGAATGTTAATTTAACTGTGGTTCGTCTTATTAATTTATTCGACTACTGTAATCCTTTTATATTTTGATTTTATACAAAGGACACTAATTTATTATTATTAAAAAATAATTAAAAATTCACTTGCAATAACTTATGATTTATATATTTCATATATATATATTTAGCTTCGATGCGAAGCGGAGAAGGTATTAATTTTACTATGATGTGTTTTTTTTTTTTTTTATGTCTGTTGCCACTTTTTCTCAGCTCTCACTGGACCGATTTCTTTCAAAAATACGTCAAAAGATCACAAATCGTATCTAGTTGAAGACATTACCCTTAAAAATTGAAAAAAATTCCCTCGTTCCCCGCAAATGGGGGAAATATCCAAAAAAATTACAAATTTAAAAATCGCTAATTTTCGAAATTTTTTCACTTTTTTTTCTTAAAACTTCCATAACTTTTTGAAAAATCAACAAATCAACATAATTTTTTTTTATACTAAAACCTTAGATATTTACCTTTCATTTGATATCATTTTTTTGAAAATCTATCACTTAACCTGCTCATTGGGGGGGATTTAAAATGGCAACTTTTTTACAAAAATTAATTTTTTCAACTTAATTTTTGAAAATGTTCCGGAAAGACTGCGTCCTTTAAACATATATCAAATTAAAGCTTATTTTATGTACTACAAAATGAAAAAAAAAAATTTGTCCCGACACTTTTTTTTCTACATTTAAACGGCTGCCGTAGTTAAAAAAACACTATTTTTGTGTTAAAATTTTCGATTTTCGATTTTAAATTTTCAACTTAAAAATGCTATAACTTTTTGAAAAATGTATATATCAGCACAAATTTTTTTTTTCTAAATACATTATAAGTACATCTTTCATTTGACATACTTTTTATTAAAATTGGACAATTTCCCCTTATATAGGGGGCGTTCAAAACTTAAAATATTGTAAAAAACATAGAACTTTTTCAACTTAACTTTTGAAAATGTTCCGGAAATACTGCGTCCTTTAAACATATATAAAATTAAAGCTTATTTTATGTACTACAAAATGAAAAAAAAAAATTTGTCCCGACGATCTATCTTCTATACGCAAATGGCTACCATATTGAAAAATATACTATTTTTGTATGATAATTATGGGTTTTGTATTTTATTTTAATAGAAGTTGATGTTGCTTTTGCAATTATCCATCAATTTTTTAAAATTAAACAC